ATTACTGCCCTTATTATGCTTCTGTTACGCTTTTCTCTGGCTCCAAGGGTAATGTGTGTGTCAGTCGTTTTCAATGTACTCTTTACTTATGCGGGTGCTCGCAAGGCAAAAAATATTGTCAAAAAAGGATATCACAAGAGAGACCACGTTAATCCTGAGTTATTTCACTACGTGACTCTTCAATTTCAACAACCCTGCATGATAATACTTTAGGTGTGTTAACATTATCTGCTAGAAAGAAATTTAGCCATAAAGTGACACAAGAGAGTAAATGTATTTTGTCTTCGGTTAAATTTAGGCTCTAAAATGGGAAGCCGGTGTTGTTTTAAAAGATAAGCTTCTCTGTACCACGTCACTGCTTCACACACAGAGTGTCCTTAATACTCACAAGTTTAAGGACATTTTAGGCGGCATTTGCCGCTTACACAGGAACTGGGCTGATTCATAGCAACCGCGCAAAGTCAGCGGAAATTCACCGGAACCGTTCAATAAAAATTTCTTACCGTTTAAAATTTAATTACAACTAAGCACAATTCCTATTCATATGTTTTAAACTTACACCTAAGTAAACGAGTGAATAAATTTTATGTTTTCGAAAATTCCTATTGAAAATTTCAGAAGGTGAATTGGTGAACATACAGTTGTTTTCGATAAATTCTTGTCCGGCCTGTACACTTATATCGTAATTAACTAAATAAACTATGCGAATTGGTAGAAAAACTAGTGCGATCGTTAGGGGAGTTGGGGGAGGGACTGATCGGGGTCAATAATCTGATCAGCGTTAGTGAGGACTGACCTTAATCATCCCCCTCCCAACTCCCCTGACAACCGTACTATTTTTTCTACCAACCCGCATAGTTTATTTAGTTAATTTCGATAGAAATGTACAGGCCTGACAAGAATTTGTCGAAAACAAACGTATGCTTTTGATATGGTTATGTCAAAAAGAGGACTATTGGCGCTGGCATTAATCATACTGCATGCCCTATGAAGAACATTATTAATTCCCAAGGCTACGGGAAGGCATGGACGCGGTCGCAGGATCAACGATTTTATTCACCTGACGCTTCGGATTCATGAGTGAGCCCATCATTAGAGAAAGTCTCAGATACGAGTAATGTTTATGTCTCTGTGGCGGGTCCGAGGACGAATCCAAGAGTACAGGCTAATAAATGTTTCTACCTCTACTCGACTGATTTCTAGGACTCGCATTTTCGCTTATTTCAACAAGCCTAATTATGCCACTTTCTGAATAAAATCTCAAAATAAAGCTTGCGTAGAAACAAAATCAGGGCCCTGTGCATGTAACAAAATAACAGGGCACATGCATTGACAAAAACAAACCACAAAACTAAAATTGGGGACCTTTATATTTCTGCACAACTCTCATAACCCCTTACCCTAATTATAGGCTAATTCTAAACTGTAACCGTACCTCACAGTCAGAGCATCCCGCAAGACGCGGGTCTTATTCCCGGACCAACCACTGTAAGCATGCGTTTAGGCCGCTGAGTTATCCAAAATCCGTCTATCTAGAAAAAAACATTCTTAACTTTTTATATTTCCCGATAAAATTTGAGCAATCACGCGGTTCCTGAAAGATAATAATGTGCCAACTGCGCCAGGGACCTGTATGAAAAGCAGAGTGTTACCAGAAACATATTAACTAGGATTTTCTTCCCGTGTTAATAGTCTAAGTAATCAAAATTACACGAATACTTCCGCCAGCGGCCATCTCGAGGAAGCTCCATCACAGTTTGCTGTGGGTCCGCACACACCCCTTTCAAGCGATCATCATTATCGCGGCAGTATTATAGCAGGATCTGCTTTCTATTTCATTCGCAGGCTGGTTTCTATTCTTGGATCTTCAGCTCACCGGCTTGTCAAATATATTACGCGCTGGAGGCCAGAGCAATAAATTAATCTTCCTTTTCGGCATACTCAAAAAGACAGCCGAAGATATTTTGAAGGTTCAACGGCCAGAGCGGGGTGGGGGAGTTGGTGGACTGGGGTTAAAAAATCTCGAGGTCATGAGTGTCGGTGAACTTTGAAGTCGGATGATATCCGGGAATGAACCGAGGGGCTTCCCCTTATTCATGTGGATTCTTCACTTTGAGGTAAATTCGAGGAGGAAGAAAATGGACGTGCACAGTAAACCCTAGGCCTGCATCATATATAAAAACTCGTCGGGGGGGGCCGTGAGGAGCGAGGCTTAAAAGATCGTGTCGGTTTTTTCTACCTTCACATAGACCAACCCGAGCAAATTAACCGAATCTATTTACGAATAAATGCAGCTGTTCGTTGACTGGCAGGAGATTTTTAAATGGCTCACAATCGTAACAATTCCTTGCTTCAGAAATGCTCTAGAATATACGGAAACGCAAGGAGAAATCGTGCCCGAAATCAGTATTGGAGACACAAAAATAGAGCGAAAGAGGAAGGGAGAGAAGGGAAGTGGAGTGGAAGTAGCAGGCGACGTTAGGATGCGGTGTTCATAAGATACCGCTCCTATACCAGCATTAGCGTAGATGGAAGAGAGACTTCTGTATTTTTTAACAAACTAGTATCATTACAACCGAAATTGTCTCCCCAGACAAGTACGAGCGAATAACATTCGGACTCTTATTCTCGCACTGGTAGTTGTCTCCAGAGAGTAATCAATCTTCGCTGTTTTGATGGAACATTATAAAAACGTGAGAATGATATGTGTTCCTCACAAAAAAACGCTTGTGACACCTGCCAGGAAATGCAAAAAAACGGCTTTGCTCCAGGCTTCATGAAATACTGCTGCTTGGAAGAGACTATGAAATCTACGGTACCCTCACCGTTTTACTATACGCAGTTAAAAACTGGACTCTACTCATATCATGCGAATGTTAATGTTTTCGATGTTTTCGCCGCTACTAGGAAAACAGTTTTTTTTTCTAATCAATATACTAATACAGATAATATTTATTTTTCGTTTTTACTTGCTTAAAAGCCATTCACTAATAGTTTGGTGTTTTGGTCAATGAGTTTGCATTAATTTCCGGTTGCTTCCTGCCTTCCCCGTTAATTTGGGTATAGTTCCTCTGTTAGATTGCCCTTAATCTCAGTACGCTGACCGTTTAGACACTATTCAGTCATAATTACCCCTCTGTGAGTTTGTTAATCCCATTTACTTTTTATCTAATGCCAAGTATCCATTTACAAGAAATGTTTCACTCCCAAATCTGCCCTATGAATCCGCTGAAGCTATGTTTCTGTGAACAAAATTCGAGTTTTTTCAAGAGTTAAACACTCGCTTCCGAGAGAATACTTCAAGTGCTAACATGTCAGGGAGAGATTAGGAGAGACAGTGCGCGGCGTCCGCGTTTGTAATCGAGAGCTGCCCAATCAATTGGGCGAATTCATTCATGCAGAATCACCACAGAATGAGGACTAATTCTAAATGGGATCGACTTGGGAGCATTTATCCGTTAACAGAACGCGAGAGAAAAAGATTGAAAGCATTCTTTTGCCATGCACATTCCTCTATATTTAAACAGGACTTGGTTTGTTTAATGGTTGTTCGGGTTCCATTTGCAGCACAAGCAGAAAAGCTGGAACCTGGCTGAAGAAAGCCTAAAAGTGCGACAATCAACTCAGCAACGAAAGAACTCTGCATCATACCACTGCATGAACTCACAGTTTGGGATGTCTGTTGTCCTGTAATTATGTCTACTCAGGGACGAGAATAGGGATACACAGAAGTCCCCAACTCGAAACAGTAATACAGGCATGAAATTATGCGCAAACTCCTTTGCCCCTTTCGGGGCTATGGCGGTAGCAGAGGGTGTATGCTGCCAATTTCTGGCCTATGATTATATTCCCGGCAAAATACTTACCCAGGGAAATCGTCTTCTATGTGTGAGTAGTTTAGCAAGATAAAAGTTAGCCTTTAGCAAACACTTTATTGTTGTAACTTTATCTCCTTTTTCTGTCCTTCAAATGACAAAAAGTACATAAATTAGGTGAGTTTCAGGCGACGAAGTCCACAGCTGCATCTCACGCGAGTCTGAAGGTGCGCCATTTGAAGCTCAGCTTGACTGGATGCATTTTTTGGGAGAGCTGGTGGTCACCTATTCAAAACACTGACCGGCAGACCACCATGAAGGGGAGGAATTTCTCGGGAGCAGAAAAAAACGGACTAACTAGCATCGCTACATTAAGATGGACCAGCTTAGAAGGCCCGGTGCCTTGGAAGTACCTTTGGCGCCGTAACTTGAGGAGGATTAAGTAAAAGTTCTCACTATTTACTTTTAATAAACACCGATGTCCACCGCCATCGTAGCCGTTTGGCTGATTAAAAATTAGGGCTAAATCTCGTCCCGCGAAAAACCAAATTTAGTCATCCTCGCCTCTTCCCCAGACTGTTTTGTCTTGTGTACTGGTCGCCACATCTAACAAAGATCCACCAGCGGGCATAGTTCTTCAGACCTTCCAAATGCAAGTGAGGCTTGCGTTAATCACATTATTCAGGTACATTTCAGACGTATCCTATTTTTCCGGTAGTTTGAAGTTTTTATTTGGTTTCATGAGTGAACGACTTAAGAGTCAAAAGAATAATCAATTTGTACCCTCGATACTGACTACAGGACATCATCCAAGCCAAATAGAGGCAACCCACTTACTGAATTTCATGCTCGTGTAGAGCTACTGAAGTCCTCTAAGAACTGTGACTATGACCCTGATAGCCCACAACCTGAGTCTTAAGGAACCTTCTGCCGAATGGAGTCTTGTTGATTCACAGTGTTTTTAGCAGGATCTCCACAACAAAAGGCATCGCGTGCGATGATAACGACTTCAGTCTTAGACGCTGCTTTGGATTTGTAGGCCGAACAAACATGAAAATTTACCTCTATACGATATTCAGGGGATTATGAGGCTAAGTTTGTCTACGTAAGTCACTTTACTATCCAGTAATTTCTAAGAGGATGAAGACTCTTAGCTATCATTTTAAGAAAACCGGCTAGTTTTCCACACATTTACATTATATGCTATTCCTCTCCCATGAACGATCAAAGTTCAGTCGCTCGAAGCAGCGATAAATTAGTACTTTTTTGCTGGATCAGAGTTTAAAGTCAACCGTGATGATGGCATCGAGGCGTAAATTTAGTGGAATTTCTGGGAGTGACCTGCTTTGGAGTGTCAAAACAGAATGGCTTCATTGCCAAACATTACTTTAGCCGTTTTAATTTGTAAGATAATCTAAGTCCAACGGACCCCAGGATAAACGCGCATTGTTAGACCACGGTAAGTAAACTGAACTCAAGTACCAGTCAAGGGTTTGCTGTATGCTTGAGTTACGACAGAACCACCTAATGTACACTCCATATTCCCAATCCTCTTCGACAACAACATAGATGGTGTTCATCTAGAGAGCAATTATGAGCCCCCTCTGTTCCGCGGATGGCTGGGCAGCAGGAAGAAGAACGCTACGGTGTGAATTGAATTGAGATTTTCACCGGAACGAACTTGCAGACAGAAGTGTTCATAGTAAACTCGGACAAAGGTTAAACCCGCAAACATTGCCCCACACTGGACCCTTTTCTACAAAACACACCAAATGTTCTCCTATTACGTCGGCTAAGCATCGCGTAGTGGATAACTTCTAAGCCATCCCAAATGTGACTTAAGGCTGCAACAGCCGCTCCAGTGCCCCCGTCACCGCGACACGCTTGCTAACCAGCGGACGCACCTTCAAAGCACGGCAGCCCCCCCCCCAAGGCTTGAACTGCGCTTAGTCACGGTCACACTAGCACGCCAGCCTGCGTCCAGGTGACCTTGTGATCTTACGCTCCCGACTCAGCCCTTGGCTCAATCACGCACCCAAAATCCGGCCCCTCACACCCCACGTGTTAACACAAACATACACAGATGCGTAAACAAAACAACGCTGCCGAGCTAGCGCTTTGTTCGGCCACACAAGCAAACGAATATCTCAGGGCAACCTGCCCTGTGTAACGAATAAATTGCTCTTATGGTAGCTGGTTGACTTAGCCTATTAAACAGAACGAACAT